AGACAGACAGACAGACAGACAGACAAACAGACAGAAAGAAAGAATAAAAGAATGAAAGAAACGTAAGGACAAAACAATCTTTAAGAGGAAAAGAAATAAGAAATAGTACTACACAATAACGAAAATTAAAATAACAAGTGATCCAAAACCGTCGGGGAAAAAAGAAAAAAAAAGCTTGACGTATTAATGTCGGATAAAATATTTTACCAAAACAACAAATATCATAAATATTCGCATTTTGCTTGATAAATGATATCAAACAAAAAGCCTATTTCAAAACAACGTGAAACACTAAGTACAAATATTATCCCGGCGCTATTTAAAGGAAACGGTGTGAATCACATCACTTAGAACCATTATTTCTAAGGAAAATACATCCCGTTAGCCTCGTGGTCTTACTATATCATAACACAAATGCGTTGTGTCACAAAGGGACTTGCTACGGTAAGGCATTGATCCCTAGAGAGAGCTAAAAACGGATTTTTCTTCGTGTCCTATGTTTGAAATATAACATGTGTGGAACTATAGAAGAGTTACCAGAGGTATAATAGTAAAATCCGCCAAAAACAACCGGTTCTACGACCCGAACGTTTCATAATTGATGAGAACAAAGATTCCGTGCATAAAAAATAATTTGAACTTTTCAAGCTAGGAAAAAAATATGAATTTTCTACCCTTCTACGCCCTCTTTGGGGAAATTATTCTTTTTCGACAAGGAAGATTATCTTAACTAAGTAAATATTAATAAGAATAAAAGTTTAAGTTTTTATGTTGAAACCTTGAATCGTTGATTCCTCTCTCTTGGAGTACCTTCCTACAGAAAGAAATTCAAAAAAAAAGTTGTGTAAATAATGAGAGAAATATGAAATATTGTATAGCTGAAGAGATCGAGGAATCTCGCTTACGTGAAAAACTTCATATTGTAGACTAAAATCGCTTCACGTTTTTATCACTGTACTCATAACATGGGGTTTATATTCTCACTGCCGCTAGTAAATTCAATGGTTAGCATAACAAAGGTTAAGCTAAGCTTATTTTAGTTCTGGGACAATAAGAGGTTAACGCCACCAATTAACCATGAAGTAACAATAGCCTCTAGAGGTCTCTATAGCTAGGACGGGCTCGACTCGACATCCGAGACGCATAAATAACAGCGCAAAGCTTATATTTACTCAAGCAAGAACGCTTCCATGGAAATTAATCACAATATATATTTATTGAAATTTCCAGGCGGTGTTTGGCGTAGACGCAATTTTTGAGCTAAACTTAGTCTTGATCTCAGAAATTGGAGTTCATTTTTCAATATGGGCGCGCTCAGGAATTGCCAATATTAGAAATGATGAAAATGGTTGACGTTTGAATAAAATGTAGGTATGTATTTAATGTTTGGAAGTTCGTGAATAATTGTATGCTACTGCAAATAGAAATCGCCTTTATGAGTTATATTAAAAAGCAATACACTTTTTAAAATCTGCCACTTAAAGGAATACAATTAAGATTATAATGCAATATTTTTCCCACTTTCTCTCTCATAATCTCTTTTAAATGTAAGAAAAAAAGTTGTATAATCAACTCAATTTTACGTAATAATAATAATAATAATAATAATAATAATAAAAGTCATATTAAGAGCATTTTTTTAAATCAGACAAGTTCATTTCGCAAATGAACAAATACAATTAATTGCTTTTAATAAATATTTATAATTTATATATCTATTGAAAAATTATAACATTGAAGCATATCAAGAAAAATGGATCTTATAAAGTAATCCTGCCACCTATATGTTTATCTACTTTTGGGATGCAAGGAAAAAGAAAAATCACTCAATAAATTTAATATTACATAAGAACAATAAGTATTAACATAGAGTGCTTACACTATATCCATGAAATAAAATCTAAATAGTTACTATCTAACAGTTTTTACTTAGTGACTATCACTCAACTGGAACAGCTTTAGGAACAATACACAAGGGAAACCAAATACTCAAGACAATAGAAAGATAATACTTTGTGTATTGTTACTAAAGCTGTTCCAGTTGAGTGATAGTGATTAATAGTCACTAAATAAAAACTATTAGATAGTAACTATTTAGATTTTATTTCATGGACATAGTGTAAGCACTCTAAGTCATATTCAAAATCAATATCTTTTCAAATCTGACATTTAATTATTTCTTATACTCACACAAATTAAATTTAAAAATTAAATATTTTTGCCAATTATATGTTTTTTTCTTTTTTTTTTTTTTTTTTTTTTTTTTTTTTTTTTTTGTATGCAAGGGAAATAGGATAAAAAGTTTACTTTTCTGAGTCAAAGAAATACAGAACATAAGTATTCAGGAGATTTCCCACTGCAATCATTCCTAAGGTTATAAAATAATTATTTATGTGTGAAAATGTTATTTAGAACTATATGTCACTTTAGACAACACTTCTTCATAACTTAGAGATGACATATAGGGTGAAAACCAATACTAAAAGTAAATTGTATGTGAAGAATGTAATAAGAGCATAAAACAATATAACTCAATGAATGGATTGTACAATTTAATGCATGTATGGGTGTTGGTAAGTATTTAAACTGCAGTTCTGATTGGCTGTTAGGGCAGGCAGTATTTTCTCAGTATCGTTTGGTAAAAAGATCCACAGAACACGAGCAGCAATGAGAAGGAGTGGTTACCAAATAAGCAGTGTGCATTCGAGGTATAGATAGTAAATAAATGCGAAAGCAATCTTAAACACATAATAATTCCACGTGAAAATACCACATATACCTTGATGGACAAATGTTAAACTAATTGATTCAGTCATTTTTACATACACAAATATACAGCAAGTATTATGCTCACAAAAAAGTTTTAGTCAAACAATTACAGGTACTATTTGCTTAGTAGCATGTATAAAATTATATAATGTATATATTAAAGACAATCTCTCAAAAAAWTTTTAAGAGATCATTCCTTCCCCATGTTGAAGAAATATGAAACATGAATACAGGTCTCTGTACTGTGATATAAAGATACTGAGAGCTGTAGAGCACAAGAAGAACAAGAACAACAAGCTTAGGAACATAAGGCTTAGTTGAAGTGTGATTTTTGGATGTGCAGAAAACATAGGTCAAGCAAAGCTATGTTACAGCAGTTACATCTTTTCTGCCATATTTCACTATTATTGGATGAGATGAGGATGACTAAGGATGTGTCATTTGCTGAAGCTGTAGGCCGAGCCAGATAAAACTATCAAGGTCTTATGATATCATGAAAAACCAAATTTAAGAATCGTTTGAATTATAAATACACTTTATAGACTGAGAATAAAGATGTACTTGTAGTCTGCTTTTTAAAAAAGCAAAAATATTTCAATATCTTTATRACAAACACGACACTTTTAAGTTTAAATGACATGTTTCGGCAGTAACATCTGCCATCTTCAGATTTTAATATTGTGATGCAGACTGCACTATATCTGTTGTGACCTAGATAGAACTTTACATCATAAATGTATTATCAGCAAAAAACCCACAGATTATACATTTTTCATTATGTCAAGTTTGTGTGCTTGAGTTTGGCCAAATGTTCTTGGCCAATCAGATGTGAGAAAGTGAGTAAAATGTGCAATGATAATAATCATCATATTTTGATCATTTATCAAAAATATTACACAAAACGAGGAAAGATTTTGCCTCCCCCTCCCCCATGTCAGTTTGAGAGTTTGATTTATTTAATGTTCTTGGCCAATCAGAGGTGAGATAGAGTRAAATGTACAATGATAATAATCATCATGATTCCTTCGTGTTGGCTGTACATGCCACACAGGCATAGATGACGATGATAAATACTCATCATATTTTGATTATTTATCAAAAATAATACACAAATGAGGAAATATTTCACCTCACCCCCTCCCCCCAAGTCAGTTATGTCATCCCTTACTGTTCCACAAGATATCTACTATAAGTCATCTTTAGAGTAGACAAGGCATGTGTGATGAGCCATAATTACACAGTAGTTTACAATTAACTCACAGACAAGAGTCTACCAAAGCAGAGCCGCTCATGCAGCTTTCGTCATCTGTAAAATCTCTTTCGTCAGTTGCACTGCCAGGTCCCTGTCCTCTCCACACAAAGGATTCGTCTGTAGAACTGCAAAAAGTTAATTTAGAATGATTTATAGAGGGCCCTTTCTACTGAAGAGATAGAAAACGAGTGCGCGTGCTATGTTGAGTTATACRAACAAGCTAGAAATTGCGTGAGCCCAAGAGAAGTGCTAGGCTCAGCATTTCTCGAGGGCTCACGCAATTTCCCAAGTTCTTGTATAACTCAACATAGCACAAGCAAGGGGAGTTTTCTATCTCTTTTATAAGATGACTAAGATATAACTAACGATTAACTCAAAAGAAATAATAAAACATTGCTTGCGTTGCTGATGTCATTTTGAAGATCTATGTTGAGTTACATGGAACGGTAATTGACCAATTAGAGTGCGTGTTATATCTTAGTTATTTTATAAATGGATATATAATCAAAGGCACTTTACATTGAGTAGTGAATTTCAGATTGCTTTTTATGCAATTTAAAATCATGAGAGATGGTTAATACATGTTTGTGGTGTAGGCACTGAGGGTGGTCACTGCCAGGGTTTCTTTACATTCTCACTGGTTCTTTTACGTCCCTCAGATATTGTTTAGTCATAATGAAGTGTGATTGAATTAATAGATTTTGTCTCTTCTCTTGGTCTAATTATTTTTAGGGGCGGCGGAACCGGGGGAACCGGGGGGCCTGGCCCCCCACAGAATATTGGTTTACATGAAATAAAAATGCATAGATTTGATTTTTAATACTGTTATTGAGTTATTGTTGTGATTTTCTACATTGCCTCCCCAAAGATTTTTTGCAGTTCCCCCCCAAAGATTTTCAGCTTCCGCCACCCCTTATTTTAACAATTTTATTTATGACCATTGCAATTTCCTCAAGTCTGATTGGTCAAAAGACTGTCCTATTTTGCACGGAATTTATAGACCCCTTGCAGCACTTCAGAATGTAGCTCAATTTGGAGGACATAATGATAGGTTTCAAATTCTCTTGAGATTGAAATTCTTTTGTTTTATCCTCCAGATTGAACTGCTGTGATATCACATGCAAAGGGTCTATTAACAATACTTGTATTTTCTCATCTCATTAACTTGCTCACATGAGTGCTTGTATGTCTAATAGAAAAGTGCACCATTGGATATTATATATTAATGATAATAATAATTTATTTGAAGTCAATAACGTGGGAAGTGGTCACCCAATCTTCCGATCAATGAGGCTCATGTTAAAAACGCTCAACAAAAATATTGTATAACTAGGATACAATAACTGGAGTACATACTAGTTCAAGTAGACTAAAGGTCAAGTTTAAATTTAGAAGTTGATTTTTACAGAGGGAGGAAAGTAGGCAAAGGTTATTTTAATTTTAATTTTAAGTAAAAAAACATAAGAAAAAAATATATTTAAACTGTAAACTCCTCAACTACAAAATTCCAATTAGATCATGGAATGAGGGCCACAGGTTTGTTAGCCACTGGCTATTAAGTGCTACCCTTGTGAAAAAAAGGACTTTTTTTAAATACCATTGCCAAATTAACTACAAACACCATTTAACTTAAGTAAACAAAAACTTGAGATTTGGAAATGCTAATATTTTTGATACTGAATTGCTGTGCTATTTTTCTAAATGCCTCGTAAAAGTGATAACTAAGCCTAGAGAATGTTTATAGTCGTCGTCACAAGAGTAGTGTTAAGTTTATGTTTCGTGATCAACAATGCATAACATATGTCTATTGTATTCTTAATAAAACAATTACTACTGTCTTTTTGTCGTGTTGTTACGAATAATATTTATAAAACGTTGCAATTAGACAAAAAATTTATGTAAAATTCAAAAAGGGATATATTCAAATTCAAAGAAATTATAATAATATTTACAAAAAGAAGAAATAGAAAAAAATAATAAATTTAGCTTGCGTGTCTTTTAAATTTTTTATCTCACAAAATGCAAAAGATCAACGATTACTCCACAATTTTTCACACCAAAATTTTTCGATTTCTTTAATCCCGATTTTGAAAACATTGAATTAAAATGAGAATATAAATGTATGAAAATATAATAAGTCTAAATTAGATTTTAATGTAAATGATTTTAGTTTTTTTTTTAAGTCACCCAAGTCACACAATAATTGAAAGAGTGATGAAATATTTCTTGACGGACGTAAATCTAATCTACTCTGAAATCCGATTGTTATTTTAAGCAACGGCTTTGCTCGACATAACTTTTACTTATTGATCGTTGTTTACAGACAAAATAATAAAAAAAATTCTTTTGTTTTGGAGCCGTTTGGATATTTCTAACGAAGTATAATGATGCTTCGAAGGTTGAACATATGAATCATTTACTAATAAATTACTCCCTGACAAAAATATGAAAGCCTAACCGATAATCTTCAAATGCATAATATTTTATATTTTTAGGAGTATAGATCTGAAATATTTAAGAAATAATTGATAAAAATGCTTACAAGTTTTTTTTTAAGTTAGAGAACTTGTGTGAGAGAGGATATTTGAGGGTACCTTACCTTCCCATAGAACTAACGCTAGCAGTTTCTGGGTTATAATTGCACTGAAAAGCAAAGAAAAAACGACTTTTAAGTGTTGTATTATACTTTTTACGGCAGTTCAGTGAAGCGTTATGTCGAATACGGTTATAAATTTAAGCTAAGAGAGAAAAAAGGGAAAGATTTTGGAGGCATTTAATCGCGGGAGCCCACATGTGTACAATCAAAACAACTATCCTCCATTACTTTTTGCACTTTAATAGCTCATACTTGAGTTTATATTTACCCTTTGGAGCTGTAATGCTACGCTTTTTCTTTCTTCTTCTAGTTCCTGTGTTAGTTTTTGAAACTGGTGTTCCTAGACAAGTGTAAATACAATTAATTTTGAGGTTTTTAGCGGACAAGAAGGACGTGTAAATTGGCTTCTCCAGCAAATACTCAGCAAATGGTGATTCTAATGTAAATTTTTCAATCCATAAAAAATAGAAAAGCTTTTCATGAGCAACAGGACTATAAGTATAGAGCTTGAGGATATTATAAATGGAGAAAAATAGTAAGAAAAACTCGTAGTAAGGGTGTTAAAACTTACCTGTTGTCGGACTGATCGAAGAAGATTTGCAGCAGAATCTTCACTGTATTCACGTCTTCGAGAAGCCATTTTCCCGCTCTTTTTACCAATAAAACTCAAAAATAAACTCTCCAAGTGCTTTAGGAGTAAATATTCTCCAAAGAGTATCGTCGTCTCATTCAATAGTACTTCAAAGTGTTGGAAAATGAGGCTTTATTTTGAGGATAGGAAGCTACGTTCACGATGAAATATTTGGAAGCCGCCACTCGATCGAATAAATAACAAGGCCTTCCCCTTTGTAACCTCATGTCAATCAAATACGCGTTGCCATAGTGATTGTATTGGACTAAAAGCCCCTTTTCAAATCTAAATACCGACAGATCCATTGTTAAAAGAACAGTAACATCCGGCTTAAGAGGGGAATACATGGGCAAAGGAAACTGAGATATTTCTACTGTTAGTGATAAATTTTTGATTGATATCAGAACTGTCAAAATTGGAGAAAACGAAGGATTGAATTTTTACTCCTTAAAAAAATACCTGCCAAAAACTTATTGATGTTGAAGATAAAGTGAACAGAGGGATAAGTAAATGTAACGTATGAATATAGGAGATCTAACGCGAAAGGCACAAATAGTTTCAACGTTATCACCAGACATAATTCTTTAGCAGGAAGTGATGTCATAACGTACGCGCATGACATAATCACTCCACTAGGGGAGGGGACAGACCAAGGCTGCTAGTATTTCCCATTTTCCGCCTTAAGAGGAAAATAGTTTTTCCGCCTTAAGGAAAATAGTTTAAGGGAAAAAAAGCCGTGTCTTGATCTAATCTTCGTGCTGAATTTTCAATTACCGGAGCCATTGAATTTTTATTCTAAAATCTACGTCATAAAATACATACTACAGGCTTTAAGGACAGTTAACTGTTTGAAATTCTGAAATATCATAAGCGCGCTGTCGCAAACTTTCCAAGCCTTGGCTCCAGAACGCGCGGACTTGTGGTGCACTTTTTACTGTCGTTGCCATGCCAACGCCTTGTAAAATTTTGACACAGCCACATGTCATAGTTTTAGCTGTTAAAATACCTGCAAGTTTACTATACCAGCACTGCTACACATAATTCCACTAATTTTCCTATTGCGAGACAGTGTGGGCTAAAGCCGTTTTCCATTAAATCAAAACAACCGTTCCGCGAGCGCCCAGTTCTCAAATGGTACGCGTCAGTCTAGAAACATGGTTCGGACTGCGGATCCAATTCTAAACGGACGCGCGTACCGTTTTGAGTACTTACGGATCGCTTTGACTGGTGACCGTCCATAATGCTTAGCTGTAAGGGCAATTTCCCTATGACTCTGAAAAGTTTACGGCACGCGCAAACACGGTTGTGACAAGACAAGGGTATATGCATGACCAATCACGTACAGAATTTACTATCCGTCCAATCAAATGCCCAGAAAACGGTATATAGATGGTGCGGAGACGACCGTCAACATTTTTAGGTTACGTTGGAATGTCCCATGCATCTCAAATGAGTGAAGTTCTTCGTGCCAAAAATATAATTTGTTTAATTAACTGAAATCAAAATTACTGTCTAGAAATAAGTTTGCTAAATTCACGCGGCTGCCACGTTCATTCTCATGAGAATAAAAGCCTTCGTTTAATTAAACCGCGAAAATATATTATTGGCCGTATTTGAATGCGAGGCTTTGCTTAGGAAAATCTACTCTACTCGACGATACGGCAGCCATCTTGGATGGCAAGGGCTTATGGGGAGCCCAGGGGGTAAATAAAGCTTTGTTTAAAGTAATGACATTAATTGACTCAACAGAACCACAAGAGAATACAACAAAATATGAATTAAAACGGCACATTGATTATCTTTACCCATAAAAGTAAGAAAAACACACGAAACTTCATATCATATATTACTCTATATATACTCTATACGCCGTATCGTCGAAGTAGTCCATTGGTTGTCGTGTGAGTAATGTCCATGGAATGCCAACTTTGTGCGCAAACTCTCCCTACTCTATCCTCCCTTATTAATCACCTACGAATTATCTTAACGAAAACAAACAAACAAAAACTGAAATCGAAGTGAATTTTTTTTAGGAAATGAGAGAATAAAATGTTTGTAAAGCCTTAAGTTATACTAAATTAAGACGATTTGATGTGATTTGAAAACCAAAAYCAAATGAAATTTGTATCTTTTAAGACGAACCGATAAGTGAGAAACTTTTTCCAGAATTTTTTAAAGAATTAAAAATCACGGTACAAATGCTGTTGAAAAGACAAACGGATTTGTCAGTATTCAGTTAGTTTAACGGTAGAAAGTAAAAGGTTAACATTTTTTTTCTTTTAACTAAGTAAATGATACGCGCGCAAAGCCAGCTTCATTATTTTTCAGTGCTTTTTTTTAAACCAAAAGGTCAAACTCTTCCGCCAATGACTGGTCCAAGAACAGTGCTGCAGAGCGTCAGGGAAGCGCTTTCAAAGCAGTTATTAAAAAGCTACTCTTTATCTACTACAAAATCATTTTCGTTACTTTTTCTTCATTGTTTGAATCCAACGACTTTTTATTCCCAACAACAATGCTTAAAGACTATTCCTTTTGTATTTTGGGATATCAAAAACCGTAAACTCGTAAACAGAAAACGACTGTTTGACAATACAGTCTGCAGTAATATTTTACCGTAACCAAAGACGCAAAGACCTAGTGAAATGATATTTTAGTAGGGATAAACTAGATTGGAATCTAAATAGGAAATCATTTAATCAGCCATCAAAATGAAAGAGTGAAGTCTGCTTAATAATTTTTTTATTTGCCGGCTCAAAGAGTTATAGCTGTGAAATATTTGACATAATTAAAACTTGGCTTTCAAAAGTCGGTAAATATGAGTCGAAATGTTTGCTTTTCGAAGTATCGGTTCGAGAACAGTAATAATTCGGGACGAACTAAGCCTTTCATCATCCCTTGGGGGCTACTAAATGATCAATCATTGCATACTTCCATCATAGAGCATGCCATTTACCATTTACCATTCACAACTCTTTTCATTGTTACTAAAACTTGAAAATGGCTCATCGAAATGAAGTCAAAATGCATTATTTTTGTCTCTAAAGCAAGAGCTGTGGCTTGTTATTTCTTTCTTGTAGCGGTTCTTAGAAGCAGAATTCTAATTTTCTGACAGCTCGTTGTGGAGGTTTTGCTTGTCCTACTTGAAGTGGCTTTGAGGTCTATCAATATCAAATTCTACCAATACTCATTCATAAATCTGGTTTTTATTACGATAAATTCGCTTATGTCTATTATAATTGCAAAGCTTTTGACGTTTTCTTTCTCTATTGGCAAGATATTAAATGTACCCAAAGTACATTTATTGAGCTAGATGGCTCATAGTAAACAACACGAAGCGATGTTGGAAGACGACACCGAAGAAGTAACAGAGGAAACCCCATAACATGCTGAAATTCTTTAACGACTATTTTCCTTAAAACGAATTACTCACCTTAATAAGAGAAATCTGTTCTATTGATGGTTTGAATCACAGCGTTAAGTCCTTTCTCGGTCTTGGCTTGAAGATAGTTTATCTTTGGTGAAAATCACAACCTCAAACAATGAGAAATATCCCATAGAGCCACCGTCAAGTCGTTGCCTAAACTTGGCTTCCTTGCCTTCCCGTGGCTAGCCGTATAGCTAGCGAACACAATAACGCTACACCTCGTTGAATATTTGACCTATTCCCAAGGATCAATGAGGGAGTTTCAATACTTTCACCAAAAAGTATTTCTCGAGAGCAAGGCTATGGAAAATGATATTAGAGAGTCCTGATATGGAATTTTGAGGTCACGGCGGATGCATGTACTATCGACTTGGGACACTAGGCCAACCTCTGAAGATCTATGCTAATTATCTGATTGAAATTATTACATACAGTCTAGCCTTTAGTGACGGTATTATGTTTTTGTTTACAGAGAGCTTGAAGGTGATTAAATTTATATTAAAAAATATTTATAGAAATAGATAAGAAACCGACWGAAGTTTTGAATCAATTGCTCGTGAAATTGCAATAAATTTTAAATCTACGCTCTGAAATAACACTCGTTCACCAAAAAGAGAAATTTATCGTCTAGAAATGCCATTAAGAGTAAAAAGACGTTTAATCAGCGATTGATAAATAATATTACAGACCAGATTAAACTAGCCCCACACCAAAAAGAGAATTTTATCGTCTAAAAATGCCATAAGAGTAAAAAGACGTTTAATCAGCGATTGATAAATAATATTACAGACCAGATAAAACTAGCCCCACGCGGAGGAGAGAATGAAAATGAATATTTTTTGACGTGTGGGACTTTATTAGGAACAGCTACAAGTTGACTCAAAACTTGATATCCCAACTGACGTCCCGGTAACGAAAGATTAGAGTCGTTTGATCATCAAAGCAAGCAATCAGCCACACCTATTGATTCTATCTTATACCTTTTGCCTTCAGTCAAACTAGGTCTTGGTCTCCTAAGCCGCTTCTTTTCCTTCAACTGTCTTTTGAAGTCTGGAAATAAAAGCTCAGGAGAATACGATCAAAGATAAGTAAGTACTTAAAAAAAATTATAAARATATATTGAAAATTGTTCCTTTAATCCTTTGACTCGACGATTAAGTTTGGCATTTCTTGAGTTATATTCAACAAACATGACATAATGCCTTAACGCAGACGAAATATACCTCTTTGCACTCCACCTACCGGCCCTTCCCATTGTATGACACTACGCCAAAAAAGACTATGATATTGAAAAAAAGAAAAGATGTATATTGAAATTCGATACTATTTATATATTGAGTCTTAGAATTGTTTTGACGTAGAATGTCACATTGTAATTTTAAAATCATATTTGTAGATTAAAAAATGCTTCCCCGCCCTCCACTCCTACAACACACCTCAATAAAAGCAATACTTTCAAATAGAAAAAAAGCTAGCCCCCGTTGCGCTGTTAAAAAAAAACACTTATACAATAAAACAATCTTTGAATTCTTTCTGCCGCAAAATGTCACACCGCACTTCCAAGGCCAATGGTARGTATCCAGACCTTTGCCGGACCTTTGGTGCTATGCAGCCACGTCTTGATTTTCGACAATCAGGGTTTCACTTTACAGCCAAATTATATCAAAAACCCATCAAAGTCATTCGTCTTTCAAATACACATTTATAGTCAATTTTCAAGTCAACTCGTACAGCACTTTAGAAGTTTGGTACTAAAGCCGAATTTTCAGACGCTAGACGCCGCGTTATTTGGTTTAACCCCTTGAACCACAAACAGCCTTATATAAACCAAACCAAAAAATCTAAATATATATTTAATGTCACTATGGACACACCTTTGATTAAGCTCCACAAACTATGCGTTAAATTGTCAAGTGTGGGGGATGGAAACCGTGACACTTATTACCATATTTAGTTGCAACCTGGGGAAAACGCGTTTTGTTGTGACTGACAAGGAGACTGTCACGCTATGACATCATATGTACAGAATTATCGTACAGAATTATCGCTTGGACTGCCTGTGTTTCAACAACTCTGAGTTTATCAAATATGGTCACCACATCAGGTTTGGCACCATTCACCATTATTACGTCACTGTAATGTTAAAGCATTGCGTGTGTCGCGTAAAACAGTTAAACAGGGGACTGGTGGCTTAAAAAAGTTTCAAATTTGATCGAACCTTTGGAATGATCTTATTCAAGGCACGGATAACTCGCAGATTGAATCCTGAAATTAAACCTACCTGCAATGGGCTCATCAAATCAGGACGTCACTGTTAACTCACATTTCTAATATCCATTTATCTCGTTACGTTTATATCGCGTAAGTAAAACGTTCACACGTTTCCCCTCCGTAGAAAAACCTTCAAACTAGTTCTGACAATAATCAKTTATTTCAAAGATGCACGAAAAATATATCCGTTTGCCTCTACCAGTACTATTGCTATGAAAAGAAGACAAATACAAAGGGGTTTATCAAAGGGTGTGCAAGATTCAAAAGTGACGGTTCTTTTACGTACGATGAATTTGGCAATTCAGTATTACCAAGCGGAAATATCTGTCAAGTTGTCAACTGTTGTCAAAGAGTAAGTAAGTTGTAAAGAATAAACTTCTACAAAAACGTACATATAAAAATAATTCCAAATTAACGTCACATAAAAAAATATATTGTCTACGTTGTTAGGCTTCCCGATTCACGTTCCCGTCTGAGGCATCGCGCGCAGAAGTATCTGATCTTTCACTTGATGAAGATGAAATAACCGCCCGGGATGCCTTGATCTTCTCTCGCTTTAACATGCCAGATGCTGTGCTTGGTCTTTCAGGAAGTGTTTTTGTTGATTCATTTGAAGCTGACGAGTTATTTGCAGGGGGATGTGAACCAAGTAAGGTCTCAGAGCCCTTTTTCGGTGATGCTTCACCAGGGTCACTCTTTGAACTTGTCAAACTTGTTTCTGACTGTGTCTCTTTGGCTCGCTGTTGAGACAACGCCATCTTTAGCCTTGACCTTCTTGTAGAGGACTCTATGAGTCTTGGACTTAGAGGTGGACTTGGTTTGAGGGGAGTAACGATAACACCACGAGATAACGGTGTATCCAGGCTGTGGGACGAAAAGTGACCACGCGACACTTGGAAAGGTCGTGTTCTCGGGAATTCTGTAGATCTTGATGATATAAGCGCTCTTGAACTGGAGCGTCGTTCACCACCCAGGCCTATACCTTTGAGCTCGAAAGAACCAGACAAAGGCTCTCTGACTCCAGTACCCTCCTGACCTATCTTGCTACTGGACCCTTTTGCGATCCTTGTTTTCAGAGATACCTCGGATGCACGGTTGGGAGGAATATGGTCTTTGGAACTTGTAGGTGAAAACTCAATCCCGATGCATGTTACGCTTTGCCTCTTTGGTGTTTCACTGCCCGTTTGGCTTGGACTTGCAATGTCCTCAGATGGTTGGTGTACTTTTATTACATCGGAAACGTTCTCGTTGTGGATGTCTGGTATTGAGGATTTACTTTGCTTGAAGGAATCCATGTCCTCCTTTTCTAGATCCGATGTTTTTTGAATTGCTTCGTCCGATCCTTGATTCGATGGTGCTTTTCCACTTGCACTATTATCAATGGAGATCTGCTCATCCAAACTAACAGGATGAGTATGTTCGAGTTCACAGATGATTCTCACTCTTTCATCTTCTTCAAACAGAATATTGTCATCATTTGGAGGAGATGCTGGTTCTTGTATAGTGATGGATGGGACTGAACGCATCAAACTCAAACGACGATTTTCTGCATCAGTAAAAGTTAATGCATCGATTACACTCTTTTGGTTATCGTCCAAACTATGATCTTCATTTTGTCTAGAAGAATCATCAATGGATGACGCCTCGTTAGATTCTCTAGATTCAGATATGTCGTGTAGGGACGATAGACGTCTTCTTTCAAACTCGTTTTCAGAGAACGCACCCCCTGGCAACGAGGTCCTACGTCCGACGCCTTTCAAAGCAACAACTGGATCGGGAACGGATAATGAGATTCTTCTATTTCCTTCTTCGTGTGGTCTATCTTTGTACGATAACTGAGACTGTGAATCTGACAATCTTGAGTCAGAGATTTCTGGTAATTTCTCTTGAGAACCTCTTTTGTCCTCATATGATGAACCTTGCGTTTGTAGCTTGTTTAGTGATTTAGAGGAGTAGGTTGACACATTGTCCATTGGCACTGAATCGACTTTTGTGGCAGGCACTGGCGTTTCAATCGCATAAGTAGAAACTACACTTGCACTTACTGAAGCCTTGGAGTCTTGACTTTGTGTTTTGGACGATACTTTTATTAATGATTGGGAAGTGTGTTTAGCTTTCGATGCTTTTCTTGAAGGGGTTTGAGCAATTCTTTCAACACTCTCGGATGCTACATTTTCTCCTGACTCGATAGATGTCATTTTACCTCCAGTGACATCTTTAATTGTTTCACGAGAAGTCTTGGATGAAACATCACTACCTTCGCTTACTAAATCTTTAGTTGCCATCGAAGACATTTGTGAGACTTGAGAAGCTCTCGGTGATACTTCAGGAGACATTTCGGTAGACTGACTTGAAGGTTTATGCGTTAGCTTGAGAGTTTCCCCTGAAACCTTCTTTGGCGCAGTTTTATGATGTTTGTGTTTCTTTTTATGCGATTCCCTCGAAGCTTTCGACGAGAGTATCGAAGATTCCCTTGAACGTTTAAGTGACAGTTTACTATCTCCCTTTGATGCTCTAGATGTCAATTTTTGATGCTCATGTGGAACCTGTTGTGATGGTGATGTGATCTGAGTAGAAGATTTCGTTATGGCTTCTCCCGTTTCATGTTCAATCATTTTCGTTTTGCTTGACTCGACTTGAGATGGTTTTGGAGACGCTTTTACCTCAGTTGAAGGTGTGGACGTAGCCTTCGTAGACCCACTTGAAGTCTTTTTTGACAGTTTGATAGACTTGGTCGAATGTTTTGCCGACACCTGCGTTGTATCAGTCGAAGAGGTGGGCGCTATTTTTGAAAACGTACTTGAAGCCTTTGAAGCTGTCCTTTTGGTAGACACACTTGATGCCTTTGGTGTTAGTATGCCAGCATCCCCTGAGTGCTTTGATGACACTTTAGCCGGTTCTGAAGATGCCTCCGACATCGTCTTCGTAGATGCAGTTGAAGTCTTTGTAGAAAGTTTACTGGCTTCCCTCGAAGGTTTCCGCGACACTTTGTCTTTAGAGGGTGGCGAGGGCACCATTTTTGTAGACGTACTTGAAGTCCCTGAAGATAGTTTGGTAGAATTAATTGAAGGTTTTGGTGACAGTTTCATCGTTTCTTTTGATTCCATAGACGTCATTTTTGTAGACAGCTGAGATGTTTGTGACGACAGCCTGCCAGCCTCACTGGAGGGTTTTGGTGAAACTTTCATTACATCTGTGGATGGTTTGGGAGTCGAATTTGTGGACAGACCTGATGCCTTTGACAAAAGATCTTTAACTTCAACTGAAGGCTTCGTTGACACTTTTGCTTCTGTGGAAGGTTTAGATCTCGTAGAATCACTCGAGGAGAGCTCAGTCTTTACAATCGAAGACTTTTTTGACATTTTTACTGACTCTATGGATGGTTCAGAGGTCATTTTCGTCGATACACTTGACGACCTCTTGGGGAGTTTAGTAGCCTCACTCGAGGGTTTTGGCGTCACTTCCGCTAAAGATCTGGAAGTCAGTTTTCTATGTGTCATTCTAGTAGATCCACTTGTAGATGTTGGCAATAGCTTTTTGACCTCACTTGATGGTTTTGAAGTCACTTTAACGTCTTCAACAGAAGCCATGTGCGTCATTTTAGGAGATTCACTGGAAGCTTTTGGAAATAGTTTGTCTTGCTCACTCGAAGCCTCTGAAGAAACTTTCCCTGAGAATACTTGTTTCGTCCTTTTTGACTTAATGACACTGTCACTTGAAAGCTTGGATGCCACGTTTGCAACTTCGTTAGAAGTAGTAGTAGATATTATTTTAGAAGCCTTAGGCGAAGGCTTGATGACCTCACTTGATGTTGACTTGGGTGACAATATTGCTGCTTCAGTTGAAAGGGCTGGTGTCATTTTCGTTGTCTCGGTGTCCTCGATCAAAGTCTTTGAAAAACCTTTCGTTTTTTCAACTGATGTAGTCTGTTTTATTTTTGCGGATTCACTTGAGCTCTTTGATGTCAATTTGGTGGCCTCGCTTGAGGGTTTCGGAGACACTTGTGTTTTCTCAGACAAAAAAACTGCTGCCATTTTGGTAGACCCAGAGAAATCTTTCTGCGAGACTTTCACATCCCAATTCGAGGACTTAGGAGGTAATTCTGCAATGACCGTTGATGGTGGAGGTGTTATTTTTGCAGAGTTACTTGAAGTCTTTGGCGACACTCTAGCTGCCTCGCTCGAAGGCTTCGGAGAAACTTGTGTTTTTTCAGACGAAGGAATTGCTGCTACTTTGGAAGACTCGCGAGAATCTTTAGTCAAAACTTTTACATCCTTGCCCGACGATTTGGATGGCAATTCTGCAATGACCGTTGAAGGTGTTGGTGTTATTTTTGCAGACTTACTTGAAGCCTTTGGTAATACTGTGGC